CCGCCCCCTGCTCTCGCCACAACGCCGCCAAGAAAAGTGCCAAACAAGGTGCCCAGGAGCCTGAGCGGAACCAGCTGGGAAATCCGCTCCCCGGCCCCCTCCTCTCCACGAGCGAAGCGATCAGCTGCTCCCGCCGCGCCGAGCTCCCTTCCTGCGAGTGGCAGGGTGGCCGCGCAGTCCCTCGCCAGTTCCTTTGGGTACCAGCTGCTCAGCAGAGCCCCCACGAACAGCAGGCGAGAGAGAGCGAGGTCGGCTGTGCAGAGCCCCAGGGAGGAGGAGGACAACAGGGTTGGAGAGGAGCTGCACATGCAAGGGGGGGGGGGGGATATGTGAGCAAAGCCAGAGGCTCCTGGCTCGCCCGTGAATTTAATCTCTCCCCTGCCTGCTGCTGCTGCTGCAGTGATTTTTCATTCCCATCTAGAGAGCCTATTGTGTATTTGGCACTTGCCTTCGTGCTTTTTCTTCCCTCCTAGGCTCAGCTGATGACACTCCACCGGGGATTTCTTCTTGGGCGGCCCGGGGGTTTTCTCCCACACTCAATAAAAGATCATTACAGGTTGGAAACTGACAAGCTTCCCTCTCGCGGCAGCCCCCATTGCTGCTGGGAGGCCAGTGTGACTTTACAAACAGCTTCCTCCCCCTCCATGGGCACCTCAGGGAATTAGGTGAATCACAGGGACACTTTCAGGTTTCCATGTTTTACTCATTTCTATGTTTCCATGTTTTACTCATTTCTACAAGTGGCTACTACAGAACACACAATTATAGAAAGCACAGTTAGTATTAATGTTTCTTCAGCACCTACTATCTGAGGATCCCAAAGCACTTTACAGTATTAGTATATTTAGCCCCAGCAGGGTTGGGAAAGTGCCATCATGCCCTATGGGACTAGAAAGATTAATGGCCTGATTTTCAAAGCTGCTAAGCACCTGCTGCGCCTATTGCAATCAGAGGGAGCTCCTGAATGCTCAGCACATCGATAAATCAGTCCCTAAGTGACATGTTGAAGGTCACACAGTGAGTGTGTGGCACCCGTGGTTGTAGAACCCATGTTTCCTGATCCCAGGGCTGGGCCTTCTTATCAGACCTTAAAGAGCATTAATAACATCCACATTGCAACAAAGACAACTAAGAGGGATACAAAAAGTCATTCAAACCTTAAACATCATCAGCGGGCCTCAATGCCTGCCCTACCAGTCATGCGACTTGGAGCCCTGTAGGTTTGATGGGCCGCAATGGGTAGCAAATCTCATTCAGATGCCTTCTGCTGAGAAGCAAAATTTCTCTCAACCTGGTGTGTGGGATTATCCTGTCATGTGAGTGAATTATTTGCTGTATGGGGTTTTTTTTTGGTGTTTCGTGAGATGTAATAATGAAAGACGCTTTGAGACATTCGTTTCTATTGTGTTTCTATGTGATAATGAAGCACATTGGAACATTTAAGAGCGCTTGCAGGGAAGTGAATAAAGAATCCTTTATTGTAAGGGTGGCACAGTCTTGCCTCTTTACAAAGAAGAAATAGAGTGGAAGGATAAGAAAGGAAAATGGGTTTAGTTTTTTAGTGAGCCTGTTAATGAGCAAAGCTGCAGGAGGGCCTGTGAATGGTGGCTGTTTCTGTGAGTTAGATTTATCATATGTCAACACACTAATAAATATTGTTGCTGTGTTGATAGCTTGAGTCAATTTTTAATGTTACACTCTGTTTCTAATTATGAGAGATGGGCCTAAATCAAAATGTCTCATCTGAACACATTGTGGGGGTGTTTGAAATCCAAATTTGTATCCAGATCAAAATTTTTCAAATGGGCTCTCTTTATGATGGTCCAAAGCAAAATCCTAGATCTGAACATCTTAAATTTCGCAGTGCTTGGGTTCCAGATGTGAAGTCACAAGGAGTGTGGGAATGTTAGATTATTTTTTCTCTAAGTTTCTGGCACAAACTCGGTCTAGTTATACAAAATTACCATTTTATGAATATACTTTGTGAAGCAAGAATAAAAATGTTAACATTGCTGCAAATAATGAGCTAGAATTCTTCTTCTACCCCACTATTACGTTAATGTAACTCTATTAATTCAGCAAACTTACTCCTGATTTACATAAGTGTAGGTGTGAAGGAGATCAAACTTAGCAATGTCTTGTAAATGTACACAATGCATGTTAACTTAATGGACTTCAGGATGGATTTGTCCTAATAGAATTACGTATTTATGTGTAAATTTGTGTGTGAGAGAAAGGGGGGATGGGTGGCATAGTTGATGACCTTGGATACAGTCAGTAATTGTATAATAAATACATCTTCTATAATGATGCTGAAAAAGATGCATTCCTTTTCCATAGGCCTACTGTGTAACATATAGTGCTTAATATATTGTCCTTGTTCAATTATAGTTTTGCCGAGATGAAGTCGTAAGAGCCTGCAAGCTTTTCAGGCTTTCTGGTGATTTCCTGAAGGTATTTCAGCACTTGATCACAGTACAGAACATAATAAATTGCACCATCTGTATACATAGTTCTTGGTTCCTGACAGAATGAGAGATAAGGCTTAAGGCACTGTAAGCCAAAAAATACAATACAGATTTCTTTTCTTTCTATGTTTACAGTGACTTAATGTCAAAAGAACTGTGGAAATTCCTGCCATTAGCAATTGTCCAAGACACACCCAGGAACTAAGAGCACAGAGGACCAAGCTCTACTTCCAGTTCCTTGGGTGCAACTGCAGTTTGTGATGCTGCCTGGGTGTAACTTAAGTGCTGACTTTGGCCTGTCTGATTGGCACCTTTTCTGCTTTGGAATGGTAACTGACATCTACATTAATGGAACCACTAGATTACAAGCATTTTAAATCAAATGTCAAACTGTGGGCCAAACCTTGCAGTCTATACGCAGGTAAATCTCCCATTAAAATGAACTGAATAAAACTGAAGAATAGGTCCCTAGAATTTTGCCCCTTGATAAAGGTAGTTAAGACCAAAGCAGACTGTGAAGAACTTTAAAAATATCTCACAAAACTAAGAGATTGGGCAACAAAATGGCAAATGAAATTTAATGTGGATAAATGTAAAGTAATGCACATTGGAAAAAATAACCCCAACTATACATATACTGTAATATGATGGGGCTAATTTGGCTATGACAAATCAGGAAAGAGATCTTGGAGTTATCGTGGATAGTTCTCTGAAGACGTCCATGCACGTCAGTCAAAAAAGCAAACAGGATGTTAGGAATCATTTAAAAAGGGATAGAGAATAAGACAGAGAATATCCTATTGCCCTTATGTGGATATAAATCCACAGTACGCCCACATCTTGAATACTGCATACAGATGTGGTCTCCTCATCTCAAAAAAGTTATATTGGCATTAGAAAAGGTTCAGAGAAGGGCAATTAAAATGATTAGGGGTTTGGAACAGGTCCCATATGAGGAGAGATTAAAGAGACTGGGACTTTTTGGCTTGGAAAAGAGGAGACTAAGGGGGGATATGATAGAGGTTTATAAAATCATGAGTGGTGTGGAGAAAGTGAATAAGGAAAAGTTATTTACTTGTTCCCATAATACAAGAACTAGGGGCCACCAAATGAAATTAATGGGCAGCAGGTTTAAAACAAATAAAAGAAAGTTCTTCTTCACACAGCACATCTGTGGAACTTCTTGCCTGAGGAGGTTGTGAAGGCTAGGACTATAACAGGGTTTAAAAGAGAATTAGATAAATTCATGGAGGTTAAGTCCATTAATGGCTAGTAGCCAGCAAGGGTAAGGAATGGTGTCCCTAGCCTCTGTTTGTCAGAGGGTGGAGATGGATGGCAGGAGAGAGATCACTTGATCATTACCTGTTCAATTCACTCCCTCCAGGACACCTGGCATTGGCCACTGTCAGCAGACAGAGTACTGGGCTAGATGGACCTTTGGTCTGACCCAGTATGGCCATTCTTATGTTCTTATGTTAAGTTCTAAAGATAAATGATACGATTTGGTCAATAAATATTTATAGTCTCTGATTTAGTGAACTTAAGAAAATGTTTAACTTTAATTGTGTAAAGTTAAGCACATGCTTAAGTGCTTTTCTGAATAGTGACTTCAGCGAAGGACAAAAATACATGCTTAAAGTTAAGTTAAATTAATTTTAAGCATGTTCTTAAACCCTTTTGCTCAAAGTTAAGCATATGTTTAAGTGTTTTCCTGAATCAGAGCCGAAATCAAGAAGGCTCATGATTTTCTGTGGTAGGATGATATATGTACACTAAAAGACAGGCGTGGTCTAGTTGTTTGCTCTAGGACCAGTAACCAAAGATTTTTGAATTGTATTCTCCATGGGTATGTCTACACTACAAAGTTAATTCGAACTAACGGACGTTAGTTCGAATTAACTTTGATAGGCGCTACACTAGCGCTCCGCTAGTTCGAACTTAATTCGAACTAGCGGAGCGCTTAGTTCGAA